ATGATGGTTCCATTTGTAAAATGTTAGATAACTAGCAAGGCAGGATGATTGCCAGATTAAAAGTGTCAGTAGAGCCAGCCAGGCTCATAATGGTGGAAACCAACATTCACATTCCCTAAATAGCTTTGGAAAAGACCTACCAGGGAAAATGCTTTGTGTACAAGCGATGCATGAAAGGGTACCGTGCACACGACACCCCAGCCAGGAATGGGTGCGCCATACAGCACCCAGCACAATGGGGCACAATTGTAAAGGGGCCTGTGAGAGCCATCCCAGTTTGGATGGCTCCGTTCATCATCTTGCAGGCCTGGGACTGCCCCACAGCATGACACCCCTGGCATGACAATGGAAGCACAGCACATACCTGAGGGCACTAGGGGGACCGTGTGTGGAAGTTGGGCCTGGCTCATGGCAAAACCAACCTGGAGAGGGTGGTTATCCTTTGTGAGTGATCTGAACACAGAACCCACGCAGTCCTGCCAGCAGCCAGCTCCCTTCAGTCAGCATCCAGCAGTGCTGACTGCATCGCAGATCGCATGGCTTCACAGCAGTAGGGAGTGAACCTCCCCCCTATATGGATAAGGGGAACTCCCCACTGTGCTCCTGGCACTGGGGTCTCTGTGGGAGGAGACCTCCCCTGGCCCAGACCTGGATGAACAGGAGGGGGCTAGGGCTCAGGCCTGTTCACTGGATGCAATTGGTCGCAAAAGCCCAGCACACGGAGCCATGTTTTAGGAGCCTGGGGGAGACATCTCACTTGGCTCCTGGCCAGAAAGGAGCTTAGCGAGAGCTATAAACACTGAGTGCATCCAGATGGTGCCGTGTGGGTTTTCTTGCTCTGTCCCTCCTCGGGGCCTGCCTCTGGGGAGCAGTGCCTGGGAGGCGTAGGAGGAGGTGTGATGAACTCAAGGGCAGCAGTGACCCCTCTGGCTAAGGGGGTGACAGGGCTCTGCAGGAGTCTGGCGGGGAGGAGGGTGCTAGGGCTTGGAGGAGACATGATGGGAGGGATGGTCAGGATTCCAAGGGGGCGGTCGGTAGGGGGCATTCAGGGGCACTGCCCTTCCCCCTCCTCCCTGACTGCCCCATCTGCATCCAATCTGCAGGCTTCTGCTGCTGGATGCTAAACAAGCAGCATGACCCCTGCAGCAGCAGCTCTCCCTGGTGGCTGCCACACGGTGCTCTAGGAAGCACTAACTGAGGTCTATGCACGCAGCTGACTGGTCACATGGTTCTGGCTTCTCCTCATTTCCAGTTGAGGAAGCAGGACAGATGGGAGGGGGGAAGGGCTGAAGAGCAAAAGGAGACAGCGAGCAGAGCTCAGTTCACAAAGGACACCACACTCAATGCGCTAGAGATGGCAACCCACCCCCCACCCCTGTGCCATATCCGCGCCTGCTGTAGTTCCGGGGGGATGGTCTAGGATTGCCAAGGCCAATGTCCACGCGACAGTCTCTCTGCTAAGATGTAGTCTGCACTGGAGGGAGCTGTGCTGGCCTCGGGAGGATTCAGAGAGGACATCAGGCTTAACACACTCACCAGCAGGTTGCACTGGCACCCTCCACAGGCGGGAGTGTGTGCTCGTCCCCAGTGTGGAAAGGCACAGCAGAGAAGTGGGAGGTGGGACTAAGGAAGAGAGGGTAACGGGTATAGGAAGGCAGAATGTATCCATTGGCTCTGATATTATAAACCACTAAGGACGACGAGCATGGAGCAGATTGCTCTTCATAGGAAGCAGCAGGGTGGGGACATCAGACCTTCTTACCTGCTGTTGGGCCAGCAGGTGCCATGTCCCCTTGGCCTAGCTCAGAAATAGAGCAGGTTGTCCTTGGAAAATACGAAAGCATTTCATGGGAATGTACAGTTTGGGCTAAACTCTTTCCAGGGAAGGTTTCTCAAGTCCTGGACAGAATTTCAGTGGGGTGGGCAGGGCATTCATTTGGAGTGTAGAAGAGACAGGTTACAGTCCCTGATCTGCATCAGGCAGATTAGGGATTTAAACCTGGGTGTCCCACATCCTAGATGTGTGCCCTAAACACCAACATATTAGCTATTCAGGAGTGAGGAAGAGGGGTCTCTCCCAGATTTTTGTCAAAAATCTTCAAAAGGCCCCAGTTTCATCCCAATGCTGAGTGGGAACTTTTTCAAAATCTTGAAAAGTTTCATGAGACAGAAAAAACATTTCACACCCAGCTCTATTCAGATCCTATAAAATCAACCTAGCTGGCTAAAAGCTCTGGAAGGATTGAGTTAGTTATTGTTGAGAACTCATGGAAGGTGGATGAGATCCCAGAGGACTAGAGAAGGGCAAACATATACCTATCTTTAAAATGGGGAACAAAGAGGACTCGGGGGAATTATAGACGAGCCAGTATAACGTCAATACCTGGAAAAATGCTGGATCAAATTATTAAATAATTTGTGAGCACCTAGAGGATAATGGGGTGCTAAGGAATAGGCAGCATGGATTTGTCAAGCACAAATCATGCCAAATCAACCCAATTTCCTTCCTGGACTCGGTTACTGGCCTAGTGGATGGGTAGGACCAGTAGACATGATATATCTTGATTTTTAATAAGGCTTTTGACACAGTCCCACATGGCATTCTCATAAGCAAACTAGGGAAATGTGGTCCAGATGAAATTACTATAAATTGCGTGCACAACGGCTTGAAAGACCGTATTTAAAGAATACAGCAGTTATCAATGGTTCACTGTCAAACTGGGAGGGTGTATATAGTGGGGTCCCACATGGGTCAGTCCTGGGTCAGGTACTATTCAATATTTTCATTAATGACTTGGATAATGGGGCGGTGAGTATGCTTATAAAATTTGCAGATGACACCAGGCTGGAAGAGATTGACAGCACATTGGAGGACAGAATTAGAATTCAAAACAACCTTGACAAATTGGAGAATTGCTTTGAAATCAATATGATGAAATTCAGTAAAGACAAGTGCAAAGTACTACACTTAGGAAGGAAAAATCAAATGCCCAACTACAAATGGGGAATAATTGGCTAGGCGGTCGTACTGCTGAGAAGGATTTGGGGGCAATAATGGATCACAAATTGAATATGAGTCAACAATGTGATATCAGTTGTGGAAAAGGCTAATATCATTCTGGGGTGTTGTAACTAAGACCTGGGAGGTAATTATCTCATTCTACTTGATACTAGTGAGGCCTCAGCAGGAAGACTGTGTCTAATTCTGGGTGCCATCTTAAGAAAGATATGGATAAATTGGTGGGAGTCCAGAGGAGAGCAACAAAGATGATTACAGGTTTAGAAAACCTGATCGATGAGGAAAGGTTAAAAAACTGGTCATTTTTAGTCTGAGGTGGGACCTGATCACAGCCTTCAAATTTGTTAAGGGCTGGTACAAAGAGGACAGGGATCAATTGTTCTCCATGTCCATTAAAGGTAGGACAAGAGGCCTTAGTCTGCAGCAAGGGAGATTTAGGTTAGATATTAGGGAAAACTTTCTAACTAAGCTCAGGAACAGGCTTCTGAGGGAGGTTGTGGAATCCCCATCAATGGAGGTTTTTAAGACCAGGTTGGATAAACACCTGTCAGGGATGGTCTAGGTCAGGGGTCGGCACCTATGGCACGCGTGCCAAAGACGGCACGTGAGCCGATTTTTAATGGCATGCTGTTGCCTGCCGGAGTCCCAGCAGGCAGCAGCGTGCCATTAAAAATTCTGCCCAGCTCGGCCTGGCCTGCTCTTCTCTGCCCTCCCCGCCTCCCCCCCATGGGGGTAAGGGGCAGGGGGCAAAAGCTTGGTCCTGCCGGCTCCCCTGCCTCTTCCTGTAGTGTGCTGGTTTCCTGCCCCTCCTCCTCCTCCTCTCCGTCCCTCTCTCCCTGTTGGCGGATCAGCTGATGGTCCTTGCGAGGGAGGGGGTCGGGAAGGAGCAGAGTCAGCATGCTCGCTGCTCCCGGCGGAGGCAGAGAAGAAGCGGGGGCAGGGCTTTGCGGAAGGGTGTGTGTGGAATAGGGGCATATCCCCTCCAGCTCCCTGCCCTGACCCCCCCCTCACACGCCCCCCAGCCCTCTGCCCTGACCCCCCCTCACACCTCCCCCAGCCCTCTGCCCTGAGCCCTGACCCCCCCCTCACACACACCCAGCCCTCTGTCCTGAGCCCCGCAGCCCCACACACACCTCAGGCCCCTGCCCTGAGCCCTGTACCCCCCTCACACACACCCAGCCTTCTGCTTGACTCCTTCACCCCCCCCACGACCCCAGCCCTAACTCTGGCACCCCCACACATACCAAGCCCCCCCCCACCGCCTGCCCTGACACCTGCACCCCCCTCACATGCCCCCAGCCCTCTGCCCTGACTCTTACACCCCCCACATACCCAGCCACCCCACGCCCCATGCACCCTTCACATCCTGACTCTTGCACCCCCCCACATCCCCACACCCACCCTGAGCACCAAACGGGAGCTCCTGCACCCTCCCCCCCACATTCCCACCTGTACCCCTTGCACCAAATGGGAGCTACCCAGGTAAGTGCCCCACACCCAAACCTCTTGCCCCAACCCTGAGCCCCCTCCCTCATTCTAGGTCCTGGCCAGACCCTTCACCCCCAGCCCTGTGCTCAATGCACTCCCACCCTCAGCTCAGTGCAGAGAGAGGAAGACCATGGGCCAGAACCAGGGAGAAGGTAGGTACCCACTGTATGCAGGGGCTTTTTTGCCGCCCCAAGCACAGCAGGCAGGCTGCCTTCGGCTGCATGCCTGCGGGAGGTCCCTGGTCCTGCGGATTCAGTGGAATGCCTGCGTGAGGTCCACCGGTCCCATGGCTTCGGATGCATCTGAAGAAGTGAGGTTTTTACCCACGAAAGCTTATGCCCAAATAAATCTGTTAGTCTTTAAGGTGCCACCAGACTTCTTCTTGTTTTTGTAGATACAGACTAACACGGCTACCCCCTGACTAGTCACTGACTGGAGTCACCCTGAGCATGGACATTGGACTATAACCTATGGACTATTTCTAAAAGAACTTTTGGCAACTACAAGCTCATCTCTGCTATGTATCTGAACCTCAAGAGTTGAATTCAAGTCTGTATGTATATTGATCTTTTAACCAACACTCTCTCTTTTCTTTTTTAATAAATTTTAGTTTAGTTAATAAGAATTGACTATAAGCGTGTATTTTTGGTAAGATCTAAGTTATAATTGGACCTGGGTATGTGGCCAATCCTTTGGGAGTGGAAGAACCTTTTCTTTTATATGATAAGATTTTCAGTAATCATCATCATATCTGACATGTGTGTCTGGACAGAATCCTAAGGCTGGGCACTTTAAGGGAACTGTGTTGTTTGAACTTCTAAGTAACCAGTGAGGTACTATAAAAGCTGGGTTTTGTGCTGGCTTGGTAAATCTAAGTATTGAAATATCCACCAGCTTTTGGGGTTTGTCTGCCCCGTTTTGTTTGCAGTTCACCCTGATTGAGTGACCTCAGCTAGCTCCCACGGGCAGCACCGTCACAAAGGCATCTAATGTTCTCTTAAACACTTCAACTGATGGGGCTGGGGGAGGACACCTTCCTAGGGGAGCTGCTCTAATTAGAACTGTGCCCCTGCTAGAAACAGCCCGGCTCATTGATTTATCCCCATTAACAACTATATTTTGAGACCTGGCTGTCATTCAGTTTTTATTCCATCTAATATGTGCCCTGTTAGTTACATGTAATGCAAGTTTTTAATCAAAAAGTAATATAGTACTTGGTCAAATGCCTTGGAGAAATCCAAATATTGTATACAGACGCCCCCCGGGTTACGCAAACCCGACTTACACAAATCCGCACTTACGGAAAAAGTTCCGTAAGCTAGAAATAGTTTTTTTTTTTGCGTAATGGTCGGGTATATGCTTCTGACTTACGCAAAATTCGAGTTACGCAAGGTGTTCCGGAATGGAACGCTTGCGTAAGTCGGGGAGCGTCTGTATCAACATAATTGCCTTTACCAGCTAGACCAATAATCTTTTTTTAAAAAAGACAACAGGTTTGTTTGACAAGACCTACTTTCCACAAAACCATGCGGACTGGCATTCATTATATTTTTATCCTCTAATTTTAGCCAGAGTAACTGTTCCATTATTTTACTTGGGATCAGTGTTGGATTAATTAGTCTGTAGTTGCCTGGTCAATCCCTTTTACCTTTTAGAAATATTGGAACTACAATGCTGGCAGCTCTCCAATCCTTTGGGATTTTCCATTGTGCTGAATCTTTAATGGAGACTTTTTCTCCCAGTAATCTCAGCTGAATAAGTGTTAACAAAACCAAACAAAACCCAGAGTTTTAAACAGTGTGACTAAAGGTCACTTTGCCTCTCACTTCAGCTTTCACTTGCATGGCATCTTTGACAGTCTAATCCTACAGTTCTCCAGGCCTCCATAGAGTCCTCCAGAATAAAAAGGGTTAATATGACCTGAATTTTTGTAAAAAACAAAACAAAACAGAAAAAAACCCTTTAAATAAGATCAAAACAAACCCTCTTAGGCCCACTTTATCCCTAAAAAACAAGCAAAGAAGGGACAAACCCAGTGTCTTTCTTTTTGCAGGTCATGTTTATCCGTGGCCTCTCCGGGACTTTAGAAACAGAAGTATATCAGAGATAAGCCAATGCCAGAAAGATGATTCATCAAACACTGAGCCTGGAAATGTGCAAAAGTGCAAAAACTCTGGGAAATTCTACAGCCAGACAGTGACTGGATTGTTGGAAGAAGCTGACTCGTCTCCCCTGCCTCTAGAGACAGTCCCCGGGGGATCCCTTCTGAAGAGGTCTCCATCCCTTCTCACAGATGTCTCTGCATATTCCCTTTTCTTGTGCAGTTGTTTGTATCACATGGCACTGGGAATCTGCAAAGGTCCTGTTGGCAGACGAATGCATCTATAGAAGTCACATGGTCAGCCAACAATGAAGAGCTGGGTTATGGTCTATGAGAAACAACGACAACAAATATGAAATCCTTGGCTAGCTACGATGGTATAAAATAGATTCTCTCTTTCATTATACTTCCCATTGGTTCTACGTTGCTTCCTGGTGGCTTAGTGTCCAGTACAGCAAAGATTCCCATTGCCTTAGTGAGCACTGGGCTTGTTTTTCCCTCCAATTTCCCATCACTGTGACCACCAGTTCAGGTCCCCTCATGATAGCAATGGTGAGAGCTGGGGTTGACAGGGTTCCATGCAGCTGCAGGTGTTTTAAGCTCCATGCAGTCTAACTCTGCTCAGAGCAGGTCTATATGACATGGCTGCCTGGAGCCTTGTCTAATTGCCACTGTTGCTACCACCAGGGCAGCTGATTTAGTGGTAACAACAGGGGCAATTTTTGGAGAAATAAGCTGGTGCAGACAAGGCCAGTGGGAGCCTCACAGGAGCCAGCACTATGTTCAGTACTCAGTATTTGCAGGATCACTCCCCTTGCCAGTAAGATATGCTGGGTGGTGTGGACAAGAGTGAGTTTTGTCTGTCTAGCACCCCATGCTGGTGACACAAAAATGTTCAGACAAACCCAGGCCCCACCCTACTTGATGCAAATTGGTATATACAGACTACAACCTACATCCGACACATGGAAGGCTTGACACTGCGTGGTACCTCCTCCATTCCCCTCAATGCCCCCAGAAAGTGGGGGTCTCCAGCACCATCCAGCAGGGGCCCAGCACCATGGGGGAGCAGGCCCTTCAGTGACCATGCACATTTGTGTCCCCTCAAACAGCCTTTGGCTGGGCTGGCTCCTACTCCAAAGGACACACCCAGCATGTTCCATGCCCCCTGCACCGTTTAGTAGCAAAGCTCACCCCGCAGCCCATTGGTGCTGGTTGTGCGATTCATGAGAGAGGTAAAAGTTCTATGGAACGGGTGTAATAGTGGTGCCCTGGTGGTAATCATACTGATTCCTCTTCTCCAGCATGTGCAGGGACCTATAGGGCCTGGCAAGGCCACTCAACTCATTCCTGCTCTCACTGCTCTCAGTCATGCCCACTGGTCCATGGGAAAAGGCTGGCGGCATGACTGTCTGTCACATGCAGACAGGGCCAGCTCCAGGCACCAGCCCACCAAGCTTGTGCTTGGGGCGGCATCTGGAGGGGGGCGGTGCGGTGCTCCGGCTCCGGCCGCCGGGGAGAGCGGAGCCCCGGGCAGGCTCGCCACCCTGCCCCCGGCGCTCTGGCCACCGGGGACAGCGGAGCCGCGGCGGGCTCGCCGCCCTCCCCCCGGCGCTCTGGCCGCCGGGGAGAGCGGAGCCCCGACCGGGACTCGACGCCCTCCCCCTGGCGCTCTGGCCGCCGGGGAGAGTGGAGCCCCGGCTGGGGCTCGCCGCCCTCCCCCCGGAGCTCTGGCCGCCCTCCCCTGCCACGCTGGGGGGGGGCGGCCGGAGGCTTTTTTGCCGGGGGCGGCAAAAAAGCCAGAGCCGGCCCTGCATGCAGAGTGCCAACTGGTGCCATGGGTCCATCATCATCCCCTTCCTGACATGGGGAGGTGATGGGATACAGGGGCGGCTCTATGGTTTTTGCTGCCCCAATCACAGCAGTCAGGTGGCTTTCGGCGGCACGCCTGCGGGAGGTCCGCCGGTGCCGCGCCTTCAGCATCCCCGCCGCCGAATTACCGCCGAAGCCACGGAACCGGCGGACCTCCTGCAGGCATGCCGCCGAAGGCAGCTTGACTGCTGCCCTCACAGCGACCGGCAGGCCGCCCCTCGCAGCTTGCCGCCCCAGGCACGCACTTGCTGCGCTGGTGCCTGGAGCCACCCCTGATGGGATAACTGAGCCTACAATGTACCCTAATTGTGAGCTCGGTCTGTTCATAAAGTGTCCTTCAGTAACCACTAACAATAAATGGTGATGGGAAATGGTGCAAAGAAAGCCTGAATTAGTCCACACAAAAAGGCTATTGAGATAACTCAAGGACGGTGTTAAGATCATGCCTGGTAAACAAGAGAAGTGTGGGACTGGAAATTAATGGACCAAAATTGCTGGGTTGGCAATTAGGCCTTATTGGTAAATAAAATAATGAGGGGATAGATTATTCCGCCCATCACACCTTTTTTGGGTCCGCAAATAAAGACTGAAGGAAACAGCTGGCTGCCATGATGCTGGCTGACTGAAAGAAGGGGAGGAGTGAGCTCACCATCACAGCTGCCCCCCCCGCCCCCATCTCTTGGGAACGTGGGATCCAGAGTGACAATATTGTGCCTTTGTCGTCGTGACGCTGAGAGACGTCCTGACCAGACTAGGCCCCCGATGGCATCACCAGCTCCTCTGGCTAATTCCCAAATACCACCTGGGATGTGAGCCTGTGTCTCCCCCACACCCTGGTGTGTCCTTTTCCTGCCCTACCTTATTTCTTCTCTTTCCTCTCTCTCTCCAGTCCCCTGTTGTCTAAGGAAAGTCTGGCTTAGCTGGCCAAGACTGCATATTCTGCCACACTGATGCAAGCCTGTGACCAGAGAGGTAGTGAAAAGCAAGGCCCTGAACAGCCTGATGCTGGTACATGTTTGCCAGGCCTCAGAGCGGCTGATCAGACTGTGGGATGGGCCTCTGTTTCTCCAGCAGTGAGATTGCAAATGAGAGTCAACACCAGAGACAGATGATGCATTTTCTATCATTGATGTTCTTTTCTATCCCCATTTTCATCGTGTTTTATCTTAAAGGCAGCAGGATCGGATTTTAACAACAGCTCCAGCCCATTTCAACTAGCTTCTCTTTTGCCCAAGTGCACAGTTATTACCATCTTTGATACGTAGCTAAGAGATTGTCATCAGAATGGCCATGCTGGGTCAGACCAAAGATCCATGTAGCCCAGTATCCTGACTTCCAACAGTGGCCGGTGCCAGGTGCTTCAGAGGGAATGAACAGAACAGGTAATCATCAAGTGATCCATCCCCTGTTGCCCATTCCCAGCTTCTGGCAAACAGAGGCTAGGGACACCATCCCTGCCCATCCTGGATAATAGCCATTGATGGACCTACCCTCCATGAATTTATCTAATTCTTTGTTGAACCCTGTTATAGTCTTGGCCTTCACAACATCCTCTGGCAAAGAATTCCATGGTTTGACTGCGTTCTGTGAAAAAATACTTCCTTTTGTTTGTTTTAAACCTGTTGCCTATTAATTGAATTTGGTGGCCCCTAGTTCTTGTGTTATGAGAAGGAGTAAATAACACTTCCTTATTTACTTTCCCCACACCAGTCATGATTTTATAGACCTCTATCATATCCACCCTTAGTCATCTCTTTTCCAAGCTGAAAAGTCCCAGTCTTATTAACCTCTCCTCATATGGCAGCCGTTCCACACCCTTAATAATTTTTGTTGCCCTTCTCCAGGGCCGGTGCAACCACTAGGCGAACTAGGCGGCCGCCTAGGGCGCCGAGTGGTTGAGGGCGCCTAAAAGCCCTCTCAGGCGAGGAGGTGGAGTGGAGGTGAGCTGGGGCGGGGGGGCGCGGGGAGGGCCGCCCGCAGTAACAAGGGGGGCGCACAGGGGAACCACTCCCCTCCCCAGATCACCTCCACTCTGCATCCTCCGCTGAGCACACAGCCCCCGCTCTAATTCTCCTCCAATCGGCACCGCAAGCCTGGGAGGGGAGGAGAATTAGAGTGGCGCCAACGTGCTCAGCGGAGGAGGCAGAGTGGAGGGGATCTGGGGAGGGGAGTGGTTCCCCTGTGCGCCCCCCTTGTTACTGCGGGCGGCCCTCCCCGCGCCCCCCCGCCCCAGCTCACCTCCACTCCACCTCCTCGCCTGAGAGGGCTTTTAGGCGCC